ATCCGTTATTCGCACGACTAAACGGGTCGAGAGGCACTTGGTTTGGCTTTTTTTAATGTTCTTGTTTGTTTATTTTGATGGGTTTTTTTTGTTTTGTTTATTTGTGTTTGCGTGTTTGTTTGTGTTGATATTTCTGTTTGATTGTATTGATGTTTTTTTTGTTTGTTTTGGTGTTGTTTTTTTGTTTGTTTTGACGTTTTTTGGTTGTTTATATGTCTTGATGTTTTTTGTTTTTTTTTGTTTTCCTTGTTTATTGTTTATGTTATTGTTTGTTTATTTGTTTTGGTATTTGTGTTGTTGTTTTCCTTGTTTATTGTTTATGTTATTGTTTGTTTATTTGTTTTGATGTTTTTGTTAATTTGCTTTTATATTTTGCTTGTTTATTTGTTTTGATATTTTGCTTGTTCATTTGTTTTGATATTTTGCTTGTTTATTTGTTTTATTTTGTTTTTGATAATTTGTTTGAATTGTATTCGTTTGTCTGTCTCTGTTTCTCTCTCTCTGTAAAATAAAACTTAATAGATCAGAGTGACAATATATGAGCTTTAATTAATATGAGTAAGTGAAATGTCATATGAACTGTTAACTCATATTTTTGCAAAGAAGGAAGAGAAGCGAGACGAATAAGAAAAAAAAAAAAAAAAAAAAAAAAAAAAAAAAAAAAAAAAAAAAAGCGATTCATATTTAGTCGAAACGAAAAGAGAAAAAAGAAAACAGTAATCCATTTTCTGAAATTAGAATCTGTCGGAATATTTTGATTTCTAGAAGCTGTTTTTTTTATCAATAACGACCCATTAAGCTTTTGATTGACGTTGCAAGTAGATTTTGTAAACCGACTCATATCAGCTGATTCTTTTCCTCCTTCAGTGTTCATTTTGGGCGTTTTGAGGGCTGGGAGAGAGCGGTGGTGCAGTTCGTGTTGATAACGTGTTTCTTTTACGAATTGTATTTTGTGTATATCTCTCTCTCTCTCTCTCTCTCTCTCTCGTCTCTCTCTCTCTCTCTCTCTCTCTCTCTCTCTCTCTCTCTCTCTCTCTCTCTCTCTCTCTCTCTCTCTCTCTCTCTCTCTCTCTCTCTCTCTCTCTCTCTCTCTCTCTCTCTCAAGACCAGGTCTTGTTGTGGTTAGAGAGTGTTTGTTGTCAAAGCATGTCTCGTCATGATTGGTACCTTGGTTGTAAACGTTGTAATTTGGGGGGTTGTATTGATGATAGTAATAATAATAAAATAATAATAATGATAATGATGATGCAGATTTTTTATTGTTATCATTTTTTGTGATTTTTCTTTGATGTCGCTTTAGATCAGCTGTTCCCAACCCTTTTTCAGGCGACCCCAGTCATGCACCTCCAGCCATGACCACGACTCCACTCTGCTCTATGATGTATAGGCTTATATCATGTTATTATATTATATCATCGTGTTTATATTATTCAGTAATCATGTGAAAAATTCGATAAACAAAATTTGCAATTACGATTATATTTTCTTTTAACTCGATTTTTTTCTTTCTTTCTTTCCTCTTCTTAACTACAATTTAAATCACTGTATAATAATCAAGAAAAAAATAGCCATTAGCTCTCAATCAATATGTGACTACGTATATGCTGAAAACATCTCAAAATTGAGAATTGACAATGTCTTATATTTTGAGTTCTTGGCGATCCCAAGTTTAGGAAAGGCTGCTTTGGAACTCTAGCGCCTGGGATTTTTGTCAATATTCTGTTCTTACTGTATATACTTTTAAGAACGTGAATACTGATCCTGTTTGCAATTCTTCGAGCAAGACTAGCGATAACAGAAACAAAAATTCCTGTTGAATATATCCTTGTCTCCATTTCATTCACTGCTTCTCTATTACGGCCATTTTTCCCCGCTTAAAAGGAACATCCCGTTTTTCGAAAAAGAATCTAACCAGAAAAGATACCTCCCTCGTCCCTCTCTCAAAAAAAAACTAACCAAAAGAAATCTCTCTACCCCCGCCCCCCCCCCAAAAAAAAAAGTATAAAAAAGCCACTTATGCCACGACCAGACATTCCCCCACATAACCGCACTGCATGACACAGCCCCCACGTGACATCAGCCCTCCCACCTCCCCCAAAAAAAGTAAAAGCAAAAGTAAAAAAAAAAAAATACTCCTTCCACATAACCGCACCGCATGACACAACCCCCCACCTCTACCGCCCCTCCCACATGACATCCCTCCCGCCCCCCATTAAAACTCCCCCCAGCCAAATTAGACATATTCTTTCGGTTCTCCAATACATTCTCGCCAAGTCCGGGTATGTGCTCAGCTGCTGCTCCGGATAAAGTTCTCGGTTTAGCATATTGATGAGGAAAGGAGTCGGTTCAGTGGCACGCGCTGCAAGGAGCTCCGAGGGGGGTTGGTGTATGTGGTGCGGGAGTAATGTGCGGGAGTAAGGTTGTGGATGCGGGAGTAAGGTTGTGGATGCTGGTGTAAGGTTGTGGATGCTGGTGTAAGGTTGTGGATGCTGGTGTAAGTTGTGGATGCTGATGGAGATTGCAGATGGTGTAAGATTGTGGATGCTGGTGTAAGGTTGTGGGATGTTGGTGAGAGATTGTGGAATGCTGCTGTAAGGTTGTGGGTGTTTGTGTATGCGTGTGTGGATAGGCGGAGGGTAGGTGGGCGGATCTGGGTGGTTGTTTGTGTGGATATGTGTGTTGGTTGTGTATGTGGGTGTGAGTGTCTGGGTAGGTGAGGGGTGATTATTTGTTTGTGTGGATGTGAATGTGTGTTTGCGTCTGTGTGTGTGTGTGTGTGTGTGTGTGTATGTGGATCTGCGTGTGTGTGCATGTGCGTGTATACATGTGCGCGTGTATGTAAACATTATGTGTGTGAGTTGGGGAGGAGCTTTGTGCTCTACCACGCCCCTTGATTCGAAGTGCAATCCATTTTGCTACAGATTTATAGTCTTCTACTTTTACTCCTATATCTTTCCTGTTGGAGGGAAGAAAAAAAGAAAAATAGATAAATAAATAAATAAATAAATCAGTAAATGAATAAATAATAGATAGATAAAATATATATCTATATATATATATATATATATATATATATATATAATATATATATATATATATATATATATATATATACATCTATAAAAATGTCATTCCTTATTTGTCGTTTTAGAATTCAATTGATCACGTGTCCACCGCCAATACTGCTTGATCTGTCTGTCTGTCAACTATAACCTTTGGCCCAGACGCTCTTCTCCGCATTTTTTGGAATTCAGCAACTTTCCCCGACAGGAAGTGTGGTGTCTGGAATGGGAATTTTTCTGCACCATATTCCAATTTAGATTCCAGCCATTTCGATCGTTCAGATAAATCGCCCAATGACTCTGACTTCGAGCTTAGTACAGCGAGACGTTCCATTTCTATGAAGCCTCTAGTTTTCGAGCGATATATAAAAAAGGAAAAAAAAACAAGGATATTATTAGCCTTTAAATCTCTAAATAAGGATGAATATCAATACCTAATCTTTAATTCCCAATCTTCCAGTTTTCGATATTTATGTATAGAAAATAATTTTAGAATCTCTAATGAATAGATATTCTCTAATACAGACGAATAAGAATTTTATTAATCTCTAAGTCTCTCATTAATATTTACCACTTCCCCAACGCCTCCAGTATTCAATATATATATATATATAATATATATATATATATATATATATATATATATATATATATATATATATATATATATATATATATATATATATATATATATATATATATATATATATATATATATATATATAGATATAGATAGATAGATAGATAGATAGATAGATAGATAGATAGATAGATAGATAGATAGATAGATAGATAGATAGATAGATAGATAGATAGATATAGTAGATATAGATATAGATATATATACATACACACACACACACACACACACACACACACACACACACACACACATATACACACATATATATATATATATATATATATATATATATATTATATATATATATATATATAATATATAATATATATAATATATATATATTTATATATATATATATATATATATATATATATATATATATATATATTATATATATATATATATATGTATGTATGTATGTATATATATCAATATTTCCCACTTCCCCAACGCCTCCAGTTTTTCGATCATATATATATATATATATATATATATATATATATATATATATATATATATATATATATATATATATATATATATATATATATATATATACATATATACATATATATATAAAATGAAATAAACCAAGAATATATACCTTGAATTTCCTCTGAGTTCACCGCTTGCCTGCTCACACATATCGCTCCGTCTTGGATGCTGGAAGGGAGGATAAGTCTCCATCGCCAACACGGAATTCCATATAACTTTCTTATCAAAACAGGAGGAGAGTTCTTCATCTAGATCCCTCTTTCTGGTTTATTCATAGCCACGAGATTTTTCTCTTTCTCTCTCTCTCTGTTTTTTTCTCTTGCTTTTTTTTTTATTTTCTTTATCTGTCTCTTCTTGAGCTTCTATTTATTTCCTTCCCTTTTCTTATGAGTTTTTTTTTCATATTTTTTTTTTCTTATCTTGGTGTTTTTCTCTTTCTTTCTTCTTGTTCTATATTTTTCTTTAATTCTTTTCTTTTGTGAATAAGGCGGAGGAATCGTCCTGGTTCCAGTCTCTCTCTCTCTCTCTCTCTCTCTCTCTCTCTCTCTCTCTCTCTCTCTCTCTCTCTCTCTCTCTCTTCTCTCTCTCTCTCTCTCTCTCTCTCTCTCTCTCTCTCTACCTCTCCTTCTCCTCTCCTCCCTCTCTCTCTCTCTTCTCTTCTTCTCTCTTCTCTCTTCCCTCTCTCTCTCTCTCTTCCCTTCCTCCCTCTCTCTCATCCCCCTCTCCTTTTCTCTCTCTCCCTTCTCCCTCCCTCCGTCTCTCCCTCCCCGCCCTCCCCCCCCCCCCCTTTTAGACTTCTGATGGAAAATGTAGCTCATATTTCTCCCTCCCGCAGGATTGTTGCTATGGCTAGACTCCAACCTCTTGTAACAAGTCTTGGAAGCCGTGACAAGAGGTTTCGGACGCGGACAAGCCCCCCTTTTAATCCGAACGGAGACCAAGCGAATACGGCAATATCCTTCTCATTTGTCGGATTCCTGTGAGAGTCCTTATCGATTCGGGGGGGGGGGGCGTCTGGTACGAATGCGGGGTCCTGCACTAAATTAACATTGTGAAGGATACAGGATACTTCAGGATACTGTATGCGGAATCTCCTTAGGACAGTAAAAGGAATCCAGGTGTTCGGATACGGAAACGCGGATTTTATATAAACGCGATATAAAGCAATTTGTTTTAATCTTCACCCGAGGTTGTGTTAGAGTATTGAAATGTCAACAGTTATTTGTCAAAGCTGAAAACACCTGGGGCTTCACTTTGTGTTTCGGAAGTTGCCTGGTGTGTCAAGACAGATATTTGGTATAGGTGTAAAATACGTACGTGTTGTGTGTTTATGTGTACGTGTGTGTGTGTGTGTATGTTTTTCTTTTCTTTATCTTTTATTTTTCTTATCTTTTATTAGTTTTGTGTTTTCTTTTCTTTCTTATCTTTTATTTTTCTTATCTTTTATTGGTTTTGTGTTTTCTTTTCTTTCTCTTCTTTTTTTTCTTATATCTTTTTATTTTTTTCTAATCTTTTATTGGTTTTGTGTTTTCTTTTCTTTCTCTTCTTTTATTTTTATCTTATCGCTCTCCTATTCGAAGAAGAGAAAATGCAAGAGCCATTCCTTTGGCATCATTCCCTTGTCACTGCCAGCCCGAGCGATGGTTCAGAACCTCACGCAAAATCGAAGCAGTTCCGAACCAATTTCACTTCTGTATGTGTGTGTGTGTGTGTGTAGGTGTAGGTGCAGGTGTGTGTGTGTGGTGTGTGTGGTGTGTGTGTTGGTAGGTGTGTGTGATGTGTGTGTGGTGTATGTGTTTGCGTGTGTTGTGTGTGTGTGTGTGTGTGTGTGCATGTAACGTATGTGTGTGTATGTGTGTGTATTATTTTCGTCGTTACCAAAACAAGAGTGTGGGGGGGAAATACGCTTTGACCCCCCCCCCCTTTTTTCTCTGATTCCTCCTTTCACCCCCCCCCCCACCTCACCATGCCCTCTGTTCATGCGCCCATTCTCTGCCCTCCCCCCCCCCCTCAGCCCTTCCTTACCCCTTCTCTCTTTATCTTCCTTTCCTCCTTGCGCTTCTTCCTTCTGTCTCTCTTCCCTATTCGCCTTTCTTACTCTATAC